ACGTCAATCTTTATGCTCCAAATATTAGTCGTGAGAAAAATAAGAACAAAGGCTTTGCGTAGGCGGATACAGTTAACAATATAGATGATCTGACATTCAAGAAACAGCCACAAAGAGATGCAAGGTTAACTTTCAGTGAGAAACAACCAATCAGAAGACTGTGTTTTTCTATAATAATGTACATGAAAATCTATAAATATGTTGGAACAAGACATATAAGTGAACAATATTGTTTTCAATTAGATCTTCTTTAGGCTTTGCTCTAATTCACATAGATTTATATATATAAGAAGTTTTAATCAATGACGGTGATTTTGTGGATCAAATAATAATAATGTAGTAAATGTTTTGAACGTAGTTAATAACGATGATTATAATGATAACAAAATATTGATAATAAGGTTTATGCAGATGGCGATAAGAAGAATAACAAAGGTGTTAATAATATATGTGTAGACAATTCAATAAAAAATAAGGTGAAATCTGAACCAGTTACGTCATACTAAAGGTGAAGTGGACAGATAACCAGAGTTAAAAAAAATATCATAAAATCACGAAGGAAATGGAAGATAAGAAAGGGTGGGAGGGTTTTTATTAGAATTCACCTACGCCAAGGGAGAGACAAAGGTAGGACAAACTTCTTTTGTAGTATGCAAAGACTAGGATTGTTCTCTCGAATTAATTCCCAAAGCTTCAGCTATGTGTAAAAGGCGGGGTCGAATTCTTTTCGAAAGGCTCGATGAAATGCGATAGATAACTTTGCAGGGACTTCTTCTTTTGTCCACTTGGTGAACACTATCAATCAAATAAGCCAAAATAGAACTTCGCATGAACTTTATTTGACCTTTTCCGAACCATGAAGGAAGATGCTCATTAATGGCGAGTTTGTTAAGCTGTCTAGTTGTTCGGCCTATATAGCTTTCTCCAAAGAAGCAACTAAATGTATAGATACAAATATAAATATGTGTTGATTTCCTTAATAAACTATCTGTTGCCAGGCCCTTGTCTTCTGTTGTTACACTACTACTGCTACTACCAGCTAGGCGACATTGAAGAGTGAGTGCATCGGCCTGAAATCATAAGTAACTATTTGTTCAATTAATTTATCTTGTACGTGAGCAATAAGTCACGGGCCTATAAATATGAATAAACTCAATCATAAAATGATCCGCATTAGTTCATTAAAATTAAAACCTTCAAAGTAAGAGACCACTACTACTACAAAAAGTGCTGCTAATGAAGAGATCATCAAAGGTGAATGACCTGAAAGGTGAATAAACCTAATGATAACCTTATTATTTATTAACTTTTAATGTGTACTATTCCTCTTCTTCAAAAACAAAAAAAACAAAATTCAATTTAAAACCAGCCTTCAATTAAACAGTCTATTTGTTCTTTAAATACACTAACGAATAGCTAAATTGACGACTGCAATTAAAAGCAGCAACGTTAACAAAAATAAAATTTCCCTTCTTGGTTATATAACTGCCAGAACATCTTTTAAACAGATGCCAAATTTTTAGGTGTTCGTATGCAGCGTTTTTTGTTTACTAATTTCAAATTAAATCACAAGAGGACATTGGTTAGACAAATACTGAAGACATATTAATATAGGTGTAAAACTTGGACACTGTGGTAGTAAGAAATTCCATATTAGTTTGTTTATTAGATGTATCACACAGTGAGTGAAACAGTATTATTACCCACTGGATGACGTTTCGAACAAAATTTATTGCTGTTCATAATCATACCATCAATTATAATCACACGACTTTGAAACTTGAGTTTTATAATTTTCTTTGTTCTCTCCTGTTTGCCTTCGTAGGTGTGGTAGTAGAATTTTACAGATATCTGGGTGGACAAGTGTTGAATCATTCCTGTTACATGTATTTTCAGTTGATTCGATAAACAAAGCTTCTGTTATCAATCTCTCCCTCCATTCACCCTGTGACATTAGATTTCAGAACTGTCATCCTATCCCATCCTATTGTATGATTGTGTGTAATTGCATGTGGTGTAGTGCTATAGCTGAACTATTCTCTAGATTTCTTATCTTATTTGGGTCAACCAATCTAGATGCTACTAGGTTTTTATGTTCGGCTGGTCTGACTGACTGCACCTGTTCTACTACTTTGACCTGTGTATTTGAGCTGACAATCATTCCAGCAGGGTATTACATAAACTAAATTGTTTTATTTTAAAGGCTCCACAGACAGGATCCTTTAACCGACAAAGCATGCTTCTAAATGAGTTTGTGGGTTTGAATGCCAGCCACTTTTATTCCTGCCTGCCTTGTTAAGAATTCTGCGGGAGGTGGTTTCCGAGGTTCCTTTCTTGTATAGAATTACTACTGATGATTCAGATTCCTTATTGTTGGTGACGTCATTAATATTACTATTATCACTATCGCTACTATCATTATTCATTTTATTTTTACATTTCCTTACATATTTCCTGACTAATTTATCAGGGTAATTATTAAATTTCAAGGCTTCTTTTATGTGTATTACTTCCTGTCTTAGACTTTCCTTAGCACTACATAGTTTCTGTGCTCTATTTCACTTAAACATTTCATCAATCCTATTTTTACTGACATAGGATGGGATGATCGGAAGTCCAAATATCTGTTTGAATGTGTGGGTTTCCTGTAAACACACACTAGTGTGTTTAACTTCCCATCTTCTTTCCTTTTTACGTTGCAATCATCTTCCTGACTTTCTAATTCCTAAGTAGAATGAATCGAATTGCCTCAACCTTCCAGTTGATGTGTTCGAAAAATCTATCTGTATGCTGTGTTCTAAGTACAGTTAATGTGTCATCTACATACCTCCACCATACTTTTGAACGTTTTAATCGCTAGGTTTTCCCACCTATCCATGAATATATCTGCTACAACCGGGGATATTGGTGATCCCATGGCAACTCCCTCAGTTTGTTTGTATATTTTCCCTTGGAATTTAAATACTATGAAAGTTAGGCATAGCTGCACTCCCAGCATTATGTCTTCAAGTGGCACTTTTGTCCCAAGTTCAAGTTCTTGGTCAGAAATGAGTTCGTTTCTGACTGCATCTATAGCCATATTTATTATCGGCATACGTGTATATAAACTGACAATGAATTGCTGGATAACACGCTATAACTGAAAAAAAAATATTTATCACTCCATACTACCCGACAGCTAACTTGGTTTTAAAGGCTTGAGAGGAAATGTATGAAGCTACTTCATTAGGGGGTTGAAGTTCACAGTTTTTGTCTGTTAGCTCTTTTTACTCCATTACTTACCTCTTCATAGTAGCTCCTGGATGATGCATGCGAGAAAACAGAGATCATCATAGGTTGACTGAAAAAAATCAAGCTTCAGGTTAAAGTACAGTCCGCTATACACTTGATCCACCGATTTAAGTGAGTACTTGGGAGTGAACAAGTGGGCTGAGTACCAATTACCGAAAAGTTCTTAGATCGATATCGGTAAAATGAGCTCATAAATGACCATAAGACACTTTGTACAGAGCGCCTTTAAATAAGGAACAATATAGATAAATCCACCATGTGGCAATGGGGTCACCACTAGAACCCATTCTAGCCGACATTTTCCTTACGAAACTAGAAAATGGGCCTCTGAAGGATGTTATTAATGAACTCGAATTTTATTGTCAGTACATTGCTGATGCGTTTTTGATTATGAAAAATGAGAAGAAAGCAAAGAGCATCCTGGATAAATTTAACGAGATACATACTGCAATAAATTTTACTATTGAGAAAGAAAAAGACTATAGCATTCCATTTTTAGACGTCTTTATGACCAGAGAAGAGGATGGCACAATAAGAAGAAGTGTATATAGAAAACCTACATCAACTGGTCAGTATACTCATTTTCTCAGCTTTGTGCCCTTGAAAAACAAATGTAATCTGATAAAGGACTTGTTTAACAGAGCCAAGAGCAATTTGCTCGGATGAATGTCTTGATTAGGAACGGTTGCTAAGCGAAAATGGTTACCCTGAAACGTTTATTGATAAGAATATGAATCGGAAACCAAAGCAGCCCAAGTTACCAGCAGTTCCAAAAAAGGCCTTATTCTTACAGATGCAGTTCCTTGGGGATGACACCAGCGAGATACTAACACAACGCCTTAGAAATGAGGTAAAAAGAGCATCCCCTGCTGCTGAATTACGTTATATCTTTACAACCACTCCTCTTCTGCGTTCGGGAGTAAAATACAAACTGCCTAATTTCGCCTCTTCCATGTGTAGCTACAGTTTAACTGCTCCTGTGGAGCCAGTTACATAAGCCGTACAATTAGGCGTGTTTCTCTTCGAATTTCCGAACATCATCCTGTGTGACTGGTTAAGTAAAGGACAAACAAAATCTATTTGTGGCGCTATTCTGTCTCATCTTGTGGATACGGAACACAAGATTAACGTTAACCATGATTTCAGGGTCATTTACCGCATACCTACGAATCTCAATTCTGCCTTAACAGTTCGACTACTGAATATTGCTGAGGTTGGCTGGGGGATCCATATTAACAAGTCTAATTTATGCATCCAAAAGAAGTCAGTTCAGACATTATCATTACCTTGACCATCTAGGTTTGAGTGATCCTGAATTTTTGTGGAATTTTCCTAATTTTAGTTGATATTCTATTCGCTATTATATCTTTATTATTATTGTTATAATTTAAGCATCTTTTTTAATGAACTGTAATTGCATTGATCATACTTTACAAATGGATATTACTTAAAAAACACTAATATTGTTATTAACTACTAATCTAGAATATTCTGTGTATATAAATATAGAGCCAGAAGAGGAATTTATCGAAAAGGATATTCTTCGCTCTATTATTTTGTGTTTTATAGATGTCTGAATGAATATTTTTGCTATATATCACATTAATTGACCCTTCCAGGTCTCAGGTTACGTCATAAGGCATCAGAAATCTCAACAGCAAAAATTATTTGGATAAATCGAGAAAATACTACATCACATTTTTACTTACATTTGTCTAACTTGTCGTAGATTGCCAGATTCAAATCTTGACTCAAATATTAAAGGCGGTGGTGACCACTGATTTGTATCTTGTAAATCTTTAACTAACTGACAAAGATTTCCTGAAGGCGATGATGTTGTGTCTGTTGATTTCGACAGATATGGACTACATTCAGAATCGTATATTACTCGTGTCCCACTGAAGATGGTTTGTTTACTTCTCAACTGATTTATCTCTTCTGTGTGATCAGGTATGAAAGGTTTAACTGAAGAAGTATAAATGAGACAGAAATAAATAGTAATAATAATAGTCGGAATTATTTTTAATTTTGCGTGAATTTATATTACATTCGTTTAAAATGTACCTTGACTAATAACAAGTTAAACAATATTTTTATGGGAAAGCTCCTTGGTGCATATCGCTTCCAATTATTACCTGAAATATTACCTACTGACTGGAAGAAAGGATACCTTGTCATGCTACCAAAGAAGAGAGACTTAGGCCACTGCAAAAACTGGCGTGGAATAATGTTCTTGTCCAAGCCAAGTAAAATACCAGGTCTTTCCATTCTTTCAATAATTCAACAATTCCCATTGTAGCATTGAGAACACAATATTCAGCGAAGAAGAGACTCTTTTCAACAACGAATTTATTATCAAACTGTACAATAGTATATATATATGGTTTTATAAAGAAATTATATCCGGTGAGGGAATTAGGTCAAAGGTGTGAATACATGAAATAATAATCATAGTAGTAGTATGAAATGCCATTAAAATATTTGTGATTATAATCATAATTAAATGTCAAGTGGCAAAATAATTAATGTCATATATAAAATAATACATAAGGTGTATAGATTTTGGAAAGCGGTACATAATTATAAGATTAGTAGACAAATATAAAATGTTACATAACATGGTGTGAAATTTGATAAGATAGAATTCAATATTGTAAAAACAAAAAGTATACAAATTAATAATTTTGAGTTTAGAATGACGAGTGAGTCAAGTGGGAAAAGATTCAGAGTGAGAATAGTAATAATAATAATAATATTCGTAGTAATAAGCGAAAAGTACATAGAATAACTAAATAAACAAAATAAATAAATATCTATCCCTCTACGGACAAGGCAGAAGTGGGGATTGTGTATACTTCTTCTGTACACAAAGGTCTGGCTTAAAGCCATGAATTGCCAAGGCTTCAGCTGTCTTTAGAAGTCTGTAACGAAGAAAACACTGGAAATTAGCATGGATTCTATGTTCGATCTTGAAATCATGGTCAGGGTTGACCGAGTGACGGAAGTCGATCAGGTGTTACAGAATAGAGCTTCGCCCACACTTCCTTTCTTCCTTGTAAAACCATGCAGCTGGAATATGTTCTCGTATCCATGTGGAAAGCGTCCTCCTTATCCATGAACCTGGAATTCAAAGGTGATCAAACTTCAAATATGCTCAAAAATCGTCTCTCTAAATCAGTCAGCAGCAAAATTGCATATGACGTTCACGAGCCACAAATTGTTCTCCACCTCTGGCCACCTCCATATGCATCTATCAGTTCACCTGCTCTTGTGGAGCAAGGTACATTGGCCGTAGTCAGAGAACGCTTTCTACACAGATACGGGAACATATTCCAGCTGCATGGTTTTACAAGGAAGAAAGGAAGTGTGGGCGAAGCTCTATTCTGTAACACCTGATCGACTTCCGTCACTCGGTCAACCCTGACCATGATTTCAAGATCGAACATAGAATCCATGCTAATTTCCAGTGTTTTCTTCGTTACAGACTTCTAAAGACAGCTGAAGCCTTGGCAATTCATGGCTTTAAGCCAGACCTTTGTGTACAGAAGAAGTATACACAATCCCCACTTCTGCCTTGTCCGTAGAGGGATAGATATTTATTTATTTTGTTTATTTAGTTATTCTATGTACTTTTCGCTTATTACTACGAATATTATTATTATTATTACTATTCTCACTCTGAATCTTTTCCCACTTGACTCACTCGTCATTCTAAACTCAAAATTATTAATTTGTATACTTTTTGTTTTTACAATATTGAATTCTATCTTATCAAATTTCACACCATGTTATGTAACATTTTATATTTGTCTACTAATCTTATAATTATGTACCGCTTTCCAAAATCTATACACCTTATGTATTATTTTATATATGACATTAATTATTTTGCCACTTGACATTTAATTATGATTATAATCACAAATATTTTAATGGCATTTCATACTACTACTATGATTATTATTTCATGTATTCACACCTTTGACCTAATTCCCTCACCGGATATAATTTCTTTATAAAACCATATATATATACTATTGTACAGTTTGATAATAAATTCGTTCTCAAGTATTGGTTTTGTAGGGATTTTGTTTGATTGCATGGAGGATTTAATCATGAGCTGACATCAGTTAGAGAACCTCCATGCAATCAAACAAAATCCCTACAAAACCAATACTTGAAAATTCATCTGATGCTCACTAGTGACTGGCCCTATTCAGGCAGTTAACCTGGGGTTCTAGTGGGAAGCCGTGACCAGTAGGGTACAGCAGGTTGAAGATGAGGCAGTAACTCATCGGAGAGGACATTGCGAAGTGGTCGCGCTATGTCGTGAATTGGCAGAAGTTAGAATTCAAGGACCATTGGATCGGGTCCCAGTGGCTCAATGGTCTACGAGCTCGCCCTGTAACCAGAAGGTCCTGGGTTCGAATCCCGGTGGTGGGTGCGTAGTGCTGAGGAGTCCCAAACTAGGACGAAACAGCTGTCCAGTACTCCCAGGTTTTCCAGTGGTTCTCTAACTGATGTCAGTCAGCTCATGATTAAATCCTCCATGCAATAAATTCGTTGTTGAAAAGAGGCTCTTCTTCGCTGAATATCGTGTTCTTAAAATATTAAGTCACATAATCCTAATGAGAATAAAGGACGCACTGGATACAAAACTCCGGCAGCCTAAAATAAGCTGATTCAGCGCAAATTATGCGCTTATCGAATTGCTGTTCCACGCAACGTAATCGAACAGAACATAAAATGGTAGTCAATCATCTACCCCAACTTCATCGACTTTGAAAAGCCGTTCGGCAGCGTTGAGCGAGAAGTTATTCGGAAAGTATTCATTAACCTCATTCAAACAGCTGGCTATATGACAATGACTGCCAAGTGTCAGGTGATCTACAACGGAAAACTCAGCAAGACGTTCGAAGTGCATACAGGAATAGGACAAGCTGACTGTCTGCCTACTATCACCCCACGATCATATTCTTGATTAGGGTGGACTCGATTATGTGAAAGACTGTATTTTGGGAGTGAGAAGATAGGAATACGCTGAACTGACCGATAAGGAGACTCTATAGGACCTTGATTTTGCGTGCCAGTGATTTATGTTTAATGTTGCACAAATTCAAAAACTTGTTAGTGAAAAGCAACAAATTAGCTGAAAAGTCGCGAGGTCAGGCAGCGAAGACAGGAAGGACTCCAGGTGAACCTAGAGAAGAAGCTGGTGATGGAGAAAACGACCAACCAACCAACCAACAGTGATAACAACAAGCACCAAGACTAACAACAAGAGACATTTTAAAGAGTTTACTTCCTTCACTTATCTGAGCAGAATTGTTTCATTTACTGGCGGTCGGCATAGATAAGTTTGTCAAAACCACAGCGGGAAAGGTACGATAGACCTTCATCACTCTGCAACCAGTAGGGAAATCTTTCGCACTCAACATAAAAGCAGATTTCAGGTTTTTAACACTATTGTTAAGTTGACGACTTCTTCTATATGGGTCAGGAACTTACAGCGTCACAAAAAGCATTTCCAATAGATCACTACAGACTTTCATCAACAGCTACCTTTTGCCCTTCATTGAAGACCAAATAGCAAAAACGAACGAACCAACCAAGATTCTGTCCCCTGAAAAATATACGCTAAAAAGAATGAAAATGAATTCGACAAACTCCGGGGAGACTACCGAATGACATGACGAACCAGGCCGTTGAATGGAACTCGAACGGGGAACGACGAGAAGGGCATCGTTTCAAGGGTGATATGGAGGAGATCGTGTGAGGAGAAGATGAAATCCTGCGGAAGATCGTAAAGCCAGCTAAAGAAGACTATAGAGAATAAGATATAGTAAAGATGTGATGTTTGAAGACCTATGTTCTACTCGGGATAATAATAATTAGGGTGATGCCCAACTACTGATAACAATTAGTCAGTAGTATACAGCCACTATCCCGATTGCAGTAGACTGTATAATGCGACAGACAGCGTCGGGCAATGAGGAAACAGGCACAAAATGGATCCACATAAAAACCTTGCAGGATCTGGACTTCGCCGATGATAAATGTCTGATTTCCCACAAATGGGCAGATATGCAAGTGAAAAGCAACAAGCTGGCAGAAGAAGCGTCAAAGATAGGACTTCAAGTAAACATAGAGAAAAGACAGGTGATGGAGATTCCTGGCCAACACCAGCAGCAACAGCAACAGACAACAATCAGCATAAATGGGGGGAACCTGAAAGAAACAACCTCCTCTACCTACTCACTTTGAAAGCATCGTGTCGAACACAGCTGGACGATACTGATGAGGATATTAAAGTGTGAGGATCGTGAAAGCAAGACAAGCTTTCATTACTCTCAAGTCTGTGTGGAATTCAACAGCACTCAGTACCAAAAATAACATCCGGATTTTCCACTCCAATGTGAAGTTAGTGCTACTTACTATACGGATTAGAGACTTGGCGCGTCAAAAAGAGCATCTCAAACAAACTACACACCTTCATCAATAGCTGTCTTCGCTCAATACCACTCAAGATCAGAAAGCCGGTCAGAAAAGATAAGCAACAGGGTTCTCTGGGAGCGAACCAAGCAAGCGGGAACCGATTGTGCAAGAAATATGCAGAAAGAAATGGGAATGGATTGGTGGCCATACTCTGAGGAAACAAACTATCAAGTGTCATCACTAAACAAGCTATTACTCGAGTGGAACCTGGCCGAAAGGGAAGTGGCGAGTTGGTCGTTAGTGAGAAGGTAACATGGAGGAGGTTATGTGAGGAGGAGACGAAAGCATGTGGGCAGACTTGGAGCCAGGTGAAAACTCTAGCAGAGAACCGAAAGCAATGGAGACGCGCAGCTGAAGACCTATGTTCCTCTAGGAATTAAAGGAAATAATGATGATAATAATATTATTAGATAAAACTGCATACTGGGATTTGAATAATTCCGATTTTGAAAAGGAGGTGTGATAAAAATTCACCTCCTTGAAATGTGTAATTTTTAAGTTACGAATTCATTTACTGTCTGTTTTCGACATAGAACTTTGCACAAATGTGCGGAAGTTCAAGTCGCCACATTCCGTGTAGCACGCGAAGCAAGAGAAGAAAGTACAAGAAAAGCATAATAGAAACAGTGAGCAGAGGTGTGAGACAAAGGAGTAATAAAGAAAAACAAAACAGTTTCATTGGAGATCATAAGTCACAAGGAGTGGATGCATCTGCGCCACTGAGAACGATTTTGAGCCATGTCACCAATTGTTTCCAACCATAGATTTTTACCGTCCCGAGGACCCCAGCCTGGAAGTCTACACCTTCCTACGTGGCTTAGACCAACTGTTGTGGATTTCATTGACTGATGCCAAGTTTTTGTTTGACCGCCGCTAGCTTTTTTCCAGCCTGACCCTATATCCGCTAACATTGCTCGTCGAGGGAGGCGATGACTTGGCATACGTAACACATGTCCTAACCATCTCAGTCTTTGTAGCTTCACGACTTCGTCGATTGATTTCCCCTGTTTACCTAGAACTCTACGCCTAACCTCCATGTTGCTCACCTTATTATGCCACTTTACACGGGAAATAGAACGCAGGCACCTATGATCAAAGACAGCTAGTCTTTTCATGTCTTCCACTCTCAGTGGCCAGGTCTCACAACCATAAAGGAGGACGGAGCGGACTGATGAGCAGTACACCCGCCCTTTGGTCGATAGTCGAACATCTCGTCTACGCCAGAGTCGGCGTAAACTAACAAATGCGAAACGAGCCCCTTGTATTCGTGCTGAGATTTCGTCAGAGATCAGCCCGTTGGGGCTGATGGTACTTCCCAAATAAGTGAAGCGGTCAACGTGCTCTACCACTTCACTTCCTATTTTTAAACTAGGCGTCGATGTAGTCCAGTCCTGTAACATCATCTTGCATTTGGCGGGAGCGAATCGCATGCCAAACATTCGTAGATTGCTGCTCAAGGTGTTTAGAAGACTCTGCATTTCGTCAGCGTCTTCGCCTAGAAGGACTATATCGTCTGCATATTCCAAGTCAACGAGATTATTCCCCGGTAGCAAGTCAATCCCTGAGTCGCTGAAGTCACCTAGGGTTAAGTCCATTAACACATCTATGATGAAGTTGAATAGAAAAGGAGATAATGGGCATCCTTGACGGACACCACTGGTCGTCATCAGTTCAGATGACAGCTCGCCGTAAGCCCTCACCTGGCTGTATGAGTACGAGTAGAGTGCCTTAATCAGTGCAATATATTTTCTTGGAATTCCCTTTACAGCCAAGCATCTCCAGAGAACTTCCCGATCGACAGAGTCGAATGCTGCCTTTAGGTCAAGAAATATAATGACTGTTGGACGCCGGTAGGAATTCCTATGTTCTAGAATCTGTCGGAGGGTGAAGATATGATCAATACACCCTCTTCCTGGTCTAAAGCCTGCCTGGCTCTCTCGTGTTTGTGCTTCCCGAGCACCACTCAGTCTACGCATGATTATTGAGCCTAAGACTTTAGATACTATATTAGTCAAGCTAATCCCTCTGTGATTATCACAGGAAGACTTGTCTCCCTTCTTGTATATGGGGATAATCAGTGACTTACACCAACCCGATGGGACTTCTTCTGATTCCCAGACGCTGCCTAGTACCTCAGTTAATCCGGACAGTAAGCTGTCTCCACCGTACTTAAATACCTCTGGAGTCATTCCATCAGGTCCCGCTGCTTTGCCTAGTTTCAGATTGGTGACAGCTTTAGTAACCTCAGTTAGTGACGGAGGACCTGTGTCTATATCCCATTCAGGGAGGTGTTGGATGCTCGGAAGGTTGAGCGTGGCTGTGGGCAAATTAAACTGCTCCTCATAATGCTCTTTCCAACGATCCAGTCGTCTATCCTGGGAGCTAATTATAGTGCCATTTTTTTCCGAGATTGTCTCACTAATGATTTGTCTTCTCCCACCCGTTTCCCTGATGAGTCCAAAGAGTTGCCTGGTGTTGCCTATCCTCGAAGCTTTCTCCATCTCTTTGGCTTTTGTCGCCCACCACTGTTCACGGTCCTTGCGGAGACTTTTCGTAAGTTTCCTCTTGTGCAGCTTTCGCTCCTCATTGAATTCGGAGCTCGCCGGAATAAGTCTTCTAGCATCTATCAGTTCGGATGAGGCGGTGGAGATCCAGTGGTTTTTACTCACCTTTGGATTTACCTTATTCACAGAATTCATTTACTACAACTTTTGGACCCTTGATCTTGCTGACTGTCCCTCGTCCATGTCAAATAAATAAATTTATGAGGTCGGAGGATAACAATTTCCATACTATAGTATCATATCATAGTATCGTATTGCCTTCACTCAACAAACTTTATCCAAATATGAAAATAAATACTCATAAATTGCCAATATGAAATATAAATAAACGTGATAATAAACCTACTGCTCTTATTACTTTGATAGCTACCACTCGTATCCTTGTAATTCTCTGGCGCTGCTTCTTCTGCATGTAAATCATTCAAAATTTGACATACAGGGCCATAACCTTGAGGCCAAAATGGTCCATGTCTATCACGAATCACTGCACTCCAGTCGACAAATGTCGGAAGGGTGTAAGCAGGCATATTTTTATTTTGACTATCATTATTGTCTTGAACACTAACGATAGATAAATTTTCCGATACTAATGTCTCAGGCTGACATATCACTTCACCTTTTTGAGTATTGCTCATACTGTCATCTTCTACAAATGAATTGCTTATCATGATATGATCCAATGGTTTAGCGTCCTTCTGATTAATCAATCGAAATTGTGTCCCATCAGGGAGTTTATGCTCACACTGGGTTGAAGCCATTAGATAGGCAGCTCTAGTTGCACTGAAATAAAAAAGCTAGAAAAAAAAGTGAAAAATCAAATATAAAAAATTAAGAAACCAAAGAAGTTGTTATCGCAAAGGAATAGAATATCTAGATATGATAGAGAAGACTTATAGCTCAGGTGGATGATTTTGATGTGGTTGTGTTCTCTGAGCTGGATAGTTAATTTGCGAAGCTTTCATCATCCTACTAGGCGACATCTTCAGCGCATACTTCAATTTGAAGTGAGCTTTTAGATTTCTCCACGAGTGTATTAATCATCTCTCCCTGTGACCTTGGACGTGACTGGTTGTTTCTGTCTGTTTTCACACCTTCTTTTCTTCTTTTTTTCCTTCACGTTCCCAGTGGAGTGGCTTGAAGTTTCTGTAGCAGTGTTTTAATTTTTGCAGTATGGAGTTGCTAGCCTCATGCCCAACCTTTCCTCTTTACCAGCATTATTTCTGGCTTAGCGAAGTAAAAGAGTGCGTCGGCTGGTTATCAAACCCCGGACCATGTGCATGGTCGGCGAGCGTCCTAACCGCTATGCCACCGATTCTTCACACCTTCTAGGTTACTTGTATTAGAACTGATTGTTTCTTTGACTTGAACTTTGACCCTTTATGTGTATGGTTTATTTTTTATCATTTTTTTTAAATTTTTTATCAACCGATCAAAGAAACAATCAGTTCCAATACAAGTGACCTAGAAGGTGTGACAACTCACAAAACCAACCAATCACGTTCAAGGTGGTCATCAGGATAGATGATTAATAAACTCATGGAGAAATCTAAAAGCTCACTTCATTGAATTAAAATGTATGCGCTGAAGATGTCACCTAGTAGGGTGATCAAATGTTCTCAAATTAACTGTCCAGCTCAGCAAACACAACCACATCAGAATAGAATATCTATCAGCCATGCAGGTGGTCCAAAGTTGGATTCCCCATCGAAGCACTCCTAAGTCTCGCCTTGACGGTAGTAAGCCTTGAAGGGAGGGTAAGTTTGGCTGTGTGACTAGCAATTCCACCTCGAAAAAAATAACAACACAACTACTGAAATAAGTAAAAACTTGAGCACCAGGCGGTAGAGTATAACTTCATTATGGATAAGATTTTATTTTGATAAAATTACACAATGTTGGCATGCAGTAATATTTACTGATGACCACGTTTCAAGCACAATTTATCACTACCACTCATAATCATATCAAGACAACTACTCACTCACACAACTTTCCTGCTTCATTTATATACTTGTGTGAAAATGGGTTAGACATTTGAATAAAATCGCTTTAAGATAAGGAAGTACTTTCGAAAATATATTGCTTTTTTGTGGTCGAGAACTTCTCCAAGCATGGCTAAGTAAAGTTGTAGTCAAAACCATCAACAATTTGATATTGGACCATCTGGTGCAAACCGGCCAGCCACAAAGCCAGCCACAATCGAAGAATTCTTCTCTATCATCTACCGGGTGTCAAATAAATTGCCAAAATCATCGAAGCACCAAATGCTCCAAACAGCAAAGGCTATTGCAATTCGCCTTAAACAACCAGCGCTCTGTGTGCAAAAGAAGTAAGTCCAGCCAGTCACTTCTACTGCCATGGTCAGCCTTCAGTAGAGACTATAAATTCATGAATTTGTAATATTATCTTTCCTAAATTTTCTGACATTCATCTAATTTTATGTTGATGCTGCTGAGCTGTAATCTATCAATAATGATTCGATGTTAGTTCAACAACATTAATGTTGTTAATAATAACACAAATTCATTCATTCACTATAACGTGTATACATAACTGTATAGCCTGATGATGAAGTTATCAAAAGAGTACTCTTTCTTCAGTATCTATTCTTTTGAAAATAATACTAATATTATTGTTATCAATTAAATACAGTAAGATGTTTTGTCAGTAAAGTAAAATTAATAACTTGTTAGAATGTGAATTCGGTTGAATACATTTTAATATTATTTATTATCGTCTGATTTGACTGGTGGTAATAATATCTTCCATGCATATGTCTGGTATTTGCATTGAGTCATTTCTGTTGCGAATGTGTTGGGTGTAGACTCGATGAACCAGACAGGATTCAGTAATCAACCTGTCTCTCGCTCTCCCTCTACTTCAATTACTCTGGGATTTTGATACTGTCCCATCCGTTCTATTGTGTCATTGTGTGTTAATGCATTCAGTCCAATGTATTGCTGAGTTCCTCTTTCTAAATTAATTATCTTCGTGGGATCAATCATTCTTACCTCAGCTAAATTCTTATATTCTGATAATCTCACAACTCCTAATCCACTAGTTTGACTAACCTATGTAGTCGGCCTCTCTGACAGTCATTGCAGGGTATTTTGTAAATTACATTATTTTGTCTGATTAGATCGACCGGGTCTTTTAATGCACAGAGCTTGTCTCCGAGTGAGTGAGTTTGTAGGTTTGAATGCCACCCTAATTCCTGCTCTATTTATAACAGAACAATATTGTTTGTACGATATCGTTTCGTTTAAGCCCTTTACACATTATTATCACTATTACCTTGGGTTCCAAGTGGAACATAGGGCCTCAACAACAAATCTCCCCACTGATCTATCTGAGAGCCTCACTACGTAGGATTCTAAAGAGAGCAGGAATTGGGGTGGCATTCACACCTACAAACTCACTCAGGCAGGACAAGCTCTGTAGGCTAAAGGACCCGGTGGACCCTATCAGACAAAATAATATAATTTACAAAATACCTTGAAATTACTGTTAAGTTAAGTCAACTCCATAGATCAGACTAGTAGATCGGAAATAGTGAGAGCAAGAGACATTGATTACTGAATCCTTGTTCATCTAGTCTACACCCAACACATGCAATTGGAATGAATCATCACTAATACCTGTAATATTGAAAATATTACTACCAATCATCAAATAGAGAGATGAGAAGTAGCGGAACCATATAAATGAAGCAGGAAATTTGCCTGATTACCATGATATGATTATGAGTAGCAATAAATTGTGCTGGAAACGTCATCAGTAAATATTACTGCATATTGCTATGAAATTTTATCAAAATGAAATTGTATCCACAACAGAAAACCCTACTTAAGCTTACAAATAAGTTGAGCACCCAAGTGACTAATTCAGATATCTACATTGATCAAAAAGTGGACACATTAACTACCTCACCTTGAACAGTTAGTGTACACTATTCAGTATTATTTGTCGTCATTCTTGGCTGGAACAACTTTATTATAAAGTCATCGTTCCAACTACAGACGGTGGCAAAGCTAAGGATATCAAAGTTAGTCAGAATCGGTGAAGCAAAACGGACCTTTGTTATCCTGAAATCACCGTGGAAGTCTACTACACTCAGTATAAAGAACAAGATTTGGATTCTAAACACTAATGTCATGTCAGTAGTTCCATTACTTGGCGACTTACGAAAAGTATTTTTTTTTAATGCTCCAAGCTTTGATCAACACCTACTCTTCTTTCGCTTCGTCCTAAACATCAGATTATGAGAAAGAATAAGCAACAACAAAGATTTGAATAAAGCAAGAACAACAGTGGTGGCGGTTTGTGCAGAATAAGATGATGGTACCATCCTTTGTTTATTTCGTTGGCTTCTCACCAGCTGCTGCTTACAGCCTAAATAAATGATGACGTTTAAGTACAGAAAAGTTTTAAAATACTTGCAAATTTTACCTGTTGTCAGTTGACAGAAAGTTCCACACTTAGTACACAGTGCTCAGAAAATTGCACTTATATAGTTTTTAAACAGGCAGTATAAGTTAAGACAAAATAAATGTATGCATACAATGGTAAAGGAGTTACGTAATAAAGATGAGATGTGCGTTAGACGCATAGTGACTAATAAGTTAGGTAACAATGTACTGAGTTGAACTCAAATCATAGAAACAAGAGACAAGCAGAATTACAGATCATAAAAAGAGGGTGAGGTTAAAGACAGAGATTACGTAATCACATCAGAGAATAGGGACATCCAGTTACCAGGGCAAGGAAAGACTAATAACTGCTTCTTTCTGAACACATAAATCTGGTGGTTTAAAGCGTTTCATAGAAACTGCTTCGGCAAACTTGAGGAGAATGGAGCTCTTCTGTCTATTGATAATTTCGAAGGGTTTCTCGATTTCCACCTCATGACCCGTGTAGAGGAGATGTCTAGTAATAGCGCTACTATAAGAGTTTTTTTCCCTTGAGACGTTGGCTTTTCGGCAGATGTTCAGAAAATCGGAGGTGTGCCCTTCTTTCTGTCCTCCCGATGTAGCTTCTCCCGCAGATATACGTAAATTTGTATACACAGTTGGAGTTAACATGAGAACGGTATCTATCGACTTTTGACTGCACCAAAGAGCATGTTGTTCGATGGACGGGAACCAACTTAGCTAGCTGCAGGATAGGCTCTGGCTAGTGACGTTCTCAGTCTTCTGTTGACCATTTCTGCAATGTCTTCACATTTAAAATCTAGTTGAATGAAGACAGGCTCTTTTTCAACTGTGATTTGTTTAGTATTTGAGCCTTCACATCTTCCATATTTGTTAATGAATCTTTGAGGATAACCGTTGTTTTTTCAGCACCTTTACGAGATTCGTGAATTCTTCCTCTAGTTTCTCTGCAGAGCATATTCTTCTCGCTCTATAGTACAGAGTCTTGACTAGTGCTCGTTTATAACTATTTGGACAAAAACTATTAAAGTGTAAATATTGTCCATTCCATGTGGGCTTTCGGTAGATTGACCTCTGGAGACTATTATCTTCTAGGCGTTTCATGGCTACGTCAAGGAAATGGAACTTTCCATCCTTTTCATGTTCCATAGTCAATACAATATTTGTATGTGCGTTGTTGAATAGTCTGAGTAGGTAGGAGGCATGACTTTCGTTGTTGCATACTACAAATGTGTCATCGACATATCGACAATAGGAAGCTGTTTGATCAGTTGCATGCTTCAACTTTGTTTTCTCAAGGTTTGACATAAAGATATCTGCTAAAACAGGGCTAAGTGGACTGTCCATGGCTACACCATCTATTT